ATCAACATTGCATGTCTCTATCTGTTTTCATGAGAAACCACTTTGAAGATATCAATATGTAATACAACAAGCATTGTTAATCTCCTACTACTTCGTTTGTAACTCTGTATTGTCTGTATTGTTCTTTTGCTATTTTGTAAAAGGTTGTCTGTCTGTTAATGTTTTCCTCCTTTTATTTTTAAAATTAAAAAGAAAGAAATTTCAGGTGGGAAAAAAATCTAAATGTTATAATAACTGTACTATGTGTGAGTAAAACCTTTCCAGCGGGGACGGGCAGGGGGATACTGTATTGTGGTTTGTTGTGAATAAAAAATATAATTAAAAACTTCTACAGAAACAACAATATATTTGTAAAACTTTTGCACTTCAACAAAATTTGAAACTTTTGTGCATCAAAGGACACTATCAAAAAATAACAAAGATAACCCACAGAATGGGAGAAAATATTCACAAACACTAGAGTAAAGGACCGATATCAAGAATACAGTAACAACAGAAAAACCCCTACAACTTACCACCAACCAAACATACTGACTCAAAAATAGGAAAAGAATGTAAGTCGACATTTTTCCAGAGAAGATACTGGAATGTCAAGTAAGTTAATTTAAAAATGTTCAATACTATTAATCATTAGAAAACGGCAAATAAAATCCACAATGAAATCCAATTCATATCCATTTAGAGAAAAGTTTCTTTTTAAAAAGCCCCAGAAAGTTAGCACACGTAGGTGAAAATGTGAACTTGAATGGAATTACCACATGATCTAAGTGTGACATATATCCTCAAAAGAAATGACTGCAGGTATTTGTACACTCATGTCCTTAGCAGCATCATTCACAATAGCCCGAAAGTGGAAGCAAAGAATGAAGATAATAAAAATGTAGTATACACAGTGGAATAATATTCAGGCCTAAAAAGAAAGCATGTTCAGCTATATGTTGTAACATGAATGAACCTGAAGGACATTATGCCTAAATGAAATAAGCCTGTCACAAAAGCACAAGTACTCTATGATTCTACTTCCACGAGGTACCTAGAGAATACTCAAATATAGACACAAAAAGTACAACGATTAGTGGCAGGGGCAGGAGGGGAGCCAGGTAGGCAGGAGGAGAGAATGAGAAATTAGCTTAATGGATACAGAGTTTCAGTCATGGAAGATGAAAGAGTTCTGGAGATGGATGGTAGTGACGTTTACACAACAGTGTAAATGTACTTAATGCCACGGAACTGTACACTTTAAAATAGTAAATTTTATGTTGTATATATTTTACCACAATAAAAAAAAAATGGACCTGGAAATAAAAACAGAACTATACCCATAAGGATGAAGATATAAGGAAGGCATTGTTCACAGGCACAGGGAAGGGAGAATTACTATATGGCATTTGGAGGTACTTTATTCTTTTCACTTAGTACCTGGATTTCAAGCTCAGCAATGTGTTGCTGTAGTTCAGCCACAGCAGCTATGCTATCTGCTTCTCGGAGTCTCACAGCCATTACTTCCTCCTTGTTCTAGGGTGACAAACAAAACAAAGTAATAAACCAGGTATGTTTCAAACTGAGAATTTTCCAGATTTTAGAAAAGTAAAAGAGTCCTAGCATTGGCAGCACATATACTAAAGTTGGAAAAGTAAGGTAAAATTATTAAGGTGTATTAACCACAAGTTAATCCAGTATCATCAAGTAAAATGATATAAAAATATCTGTATCAAGTGGTATAAAAACAAATTGTAGATGGCTACATTCAATTAAATCAGATTTTACCTCCAAATTAATTTGTGTAAAATTTATAGATGAACTTTTGGGTTTTAAAGTCTTTTGGATTTTGAAACGAGATCATAAACATACTATTTATCTTTAATTGAAAATATTTAAATTCATTTGTAGCAAGAAAATAAAGTTAACACTATAAACCATATCAGACATTGTGCATAAATGAAAAATAAAATGAGCTTTAATAATTACCAACAATTGTAAGCTACAATTATATAAAACTATATTAAAATAAATAAAATTTGTGTAATTCAAGGACTGGCTTCCTTTAAAAAGTTAGATTTGTTCCTATGTTCCAACATAACAAGGTAATATATACATATTTACTCAGAAAGTACAAGGTGCTAGGATTACAATACATGGTATTAATTAAAATCTGAAAAAAAATTATTAACACCTGCAATGGTACTACAAATAATAAAATAAATCAATATACAAATTAAACATGGAGAAATGAGATAGTCTCTGTACTTAATAGAGGTATTAATAGAGGTACTAATTCTATACTTCTTCTTGAAATTTTGTAATATTCTGAATCTGTACCCACTATTTGGACAAATTCAGAGGGAAAAATCTTTTTCATTTTCAAGTTCCACAAATATTTATTTCCCAAAACCTTTTATTTTGCTAATAGACCTTAAGATACTTAGCAGTGATATTAAATCCTAACATGTCATCAAGTGTTTAAAGAAAACACATCAATAATGATAAAAGATTAAATTTAGTTACCTATTAAAAGTCAGCATAAAAAAACAGTCAGCATAGACAATTTAGCATAATAAAAACTCAGTCAGGCAGCAGTATGCCAAATCAGATTAATACAACCTCCATTTCACATTTTATTTTTCAATTAGTCTAGTCAAAACCTTCAAATTGGACTATGCTTCTGTTAGTACAAATTTTAGTACTGCCTACAGATTTCTGTCAGCATAAATTGTAACAGCCATGCATATTTATTAGGATGTAATTTCATCTGTGGATTTTAGTGACACTGATAAACCACTCAAGCTTCACTCTTGGTTTTTAATGACATCAGAACAAGTTGATGGAATTACAGCATTATACGTGCCATTGAAAGTCTTTATTTCTCATAGAATAATATGGCTAGAATATGTAGTTAAAGGGCATCATTTCTACTATCTATGAGGTGGATTCCTACTTTATTTTAAAATCTTATAATTTGTGTTTATATTTTAAAACCTTATAACCCATTCTAATGCTCAGACTATACCCATCTCTTTAGTTATTACACACACACACAAATCCTCTCCTCCACTTTACCCTCAATTTCTCTCTCTGATCAATGCTAGATGATAAATGTCAAGAAAAAATGTCCTTGATCACAAACACTTTTGTCTTTTAATGCTTTCTGAATCAAATGCTTATACACACACACGCACGCGCACACACACACACATACACGCAAGCAGAAAATCTGATTAAAAGAATAGGGAAAGAAAAAAAAAAAGAGTAATGGGAAATACATTCATTTTTCCTGTCTTTTAGTTGTACCACTAAAAGCTTTGGTTTTTAAGTTGAAAGAAACATTGTACAAGGTCAGTAAAAAGAAAAGAACAGAACAGAAAAGAAAAGAAAAAAGAGAAGAAAATGCAGAAAATTAAGATAACTAAGGACATGTTTGAAAAGGAGGTTTATGATATCCATCTAACAAGACAAGATAAATTGGTCTGAAAGAAACTACCAAAACAAGTTTAAGAAATGTGGGAAGATTGTTTTATTTTGAAAGAAAATGAAGTAGACCTATAAAAGGCATTATTACATTGACAAAAAACATAAACCAGCTATTTGATATATTTACCTTGCATTCGATCTCTGCTTGTTTGCGCTTTGCTTCACTTAATTGGGTAAGCAGTCCTTTGTTCTGGGCAGAAAGGTAGTGCACCTTTTCCTGCAGATTGATCACCTCCTGTTCTGCTCTTCGAAGATGATTACTATTGATTTGGTTCTAATAATCAGAAATACAAATATGTACACTATATATTAAAAGACAAAGATTTCTACTGCAACATTATGAAAATGTTATTAGTATTGGTTGATCATATTCAACAACTAAACACTGAAAAAAATAAGATATAAAGCTGCTTTAATAATCTAATCCTCCAAAGGAATACACATGTTCAATATCAGAAACTCAGAAGCCAATGTATCATTTATACAAAAACATTTGTAAACAGTAAGGATGTTTACATACAACTTGGAGATAACCTTTTTTTTTTCTTGGAAGATAACCATTTCTGAAGAAGCTAAGTGAGTAGGGGAATGATGAATTAAATTCTTCTTTCCAGTTCTTAAAATAAAAAAAAATAATAAATTGAACAAAAGTTAGCACAACTACTAACTGGATTGTAAAGTCCTTTATGTTACAAAACACGTGTGTACTTTTACATTCCTCCAATATCATAGTCTTCTTTAATGAAACACAAACTGGTTCTGAATTTTGGCTTTGCTATTTAGTAATAAAGCTACTAGTTAATATCTCAGATCCTCTATTTCCTCATTTGACAAATGTCTACAGAGATACTTTCTATTTCTCATTTGGTTGTCTTCAAAACTAAATGAGATAATATATATAAGGAAGCCCAGTACATAGCAAGAGTTCAATAAATGCTAGGTGCTTACTGTAATATAATTATAGAGTAAGCTAAAAAATATTGATCCTACATTGAGTAACATGAGGTCGATTTCCCATTCAGGATTGACCCAGTTTGAATTCTCTCAATCCCAAATTATTCTACTGGTGGACTGATAGAACTAATAGGAACTTGTACAACTAAAAAAAGGTAATAAATTCTTCAATCTTGACCAAGTTACTTAATCCCAACAAATTTCAGTACACTAGAAAAGATACAGATCTTGTTACTTGCCTTCTCAAACTGTGTTGCAAAGATTATATGAGTAAAATATGTGACATGAGTCTTATAAATATCTGAAACTTTACAGATACTTAAATGGTTGGTTAAAAAATAATTTAAAAATTTAAAAAAGAAAAGAAATGGTTGGTTGTCACTAGTACTATTCTACCTACTTTGTCCTGCTTCAGTCTCCTGAGTAACTGTGACTACAAACACGTACCAGTGTGTCTGGCTCTTCATATTTTCCTGCCTCTCAGAAGAAATGTCTTTGTAAGCCCAACCTCTATGTCATGGTATCCTTTCTCACTTTTACTCAACAAATTCTGACTACAAAATTTCTTGTTTTTATGTCTTTTTTCTTGTTTTGAGACAGGGTCTTGCTATGCAGTTTAAACTGGCCTTGAATTCACTATGTAGCCAGGTTAACCTCGAACTTGCAGTGTCTGAGTACTAGAATTATAGGCATGTGCCAAGATGACTGGCTGCCTACAAAATTAGGTGAACTTCTTAGTACCTTACTTAAAATACCCTCAACTTTTTTTTTTTTTGACTTTTTTTTTTGAGATAGGTTTTCACTATGTAGTTCAGGCTGGCCTTGAACTCACTTTGTGGTCCAGGCTGGCCTCCCAGTGATCCTCTTGCCTCAGACTCCCAAGTGCTGGGATTATAGGCGTGCACCACCATGCCTGGCTCCACAACTTTTTAATTGTCTTACTTACCACAACTGAAATAACTACACTTCAGAAGGATACAACTTCAACATAGGAAAGTCCCTCCCAGACACAAGGCCACAATTCAAGATTACAAAACACACATAAAACCCAAGAAATGACCATAACTGAGAAACAGTAGACAAAAATGATACCAAGAATGTATTATTAAGAGCTCTAGATAATCATTATAAGGATTTTTTATAAAACAGCTCATGTTTAAAATTATTGAAGATATAACAGATGAAGCAAAAGCATAAAGCATAAATAAATATGAAACATTTCAGTCAAATTTTAAAAAGCCAAATAAAATTTCTGTAAAAATATAGCCACTGATATTTTAAAAATTAATTGAAAGGTTAAAGAGAGATTAAGGTACTTAAAGAAACAGTATCCCAAAAGAGATCATGACACATAAAAAAAAGAATAAGGTCCAAAATAACCTAATAAGGGATGCAGGATAAAAAAACTTTTTTAAAGTTATATGGTTTAAAAGATGATGTATTTGAGAATTTTTCACAAATATATTTAAAAATAAAAATAAAAAATATGAGTCCACAGGAAGCACTTGTCCAGGATAAACACAAAAGAATCCGTATTAAGATATATTATAACAAAAACAAATAAATAAAGCATAAAAAAGATATATTATAATGACAATGGAGTACTATTCAGCCATAAAGAAGGATAAACTAGAGGTTTTTATGGGTAAATGGATGCCAACTGAGACAATACTCATAAGTGAAATAAATCAGATTCATGTGTAAACATCATATTGCTTCCCTGGTGTGAGAAACTAAAAGTAAATAAAGTCTAAAATGTACAATAGATATTGTGAAATATAAAGAAATTGTTCAAAAGGAAAAGAAACTAGGATAGGTGAAAGGGGAAAGGACAGTAGGGAAAAGGGAAAAAATGCAAGTCAGTTACACTATTAGTGTCTCTTAGTTCATTAAAAAGGAAGGTTTGTGCTAATATTGATTGGAGAAATGTTTATGCCTGTATCTTGCACCTGGGGCAATTACTTTGAAGATAACAATATGTAATGTATTTTATTATTAATGTACTGTTATTCTATTATTTTGTAATGAAATCTTGTTTTACCTTTTCTCCATAAAATAAAAAAATAACACAACTTAGAATGCTAAAGAAAGGGAGAAAGTAAATTTATTTTAAGACAGTAAGATAAAGCTACATTTAGTGGTGTACACTTGTAATCTCAACCACTTCGGAGGCTAAAGTAGGAGGATTATGAGTTTGAGGCCAACCTGGGCAGCTTAGTGAGGCACTGTCTCAAGAAGAAAGTAAAAGAGTTTTCAAGTCAGGATTGAAATTAGCAAGAAACTGTCAAATGCAAGAATAGCAAAATACTGGCAAACAGACAAATCCAAAGAGTAGTGATTCTTAAAGCAACAATAATGTCTGGTAATTTGAAGGCACAAGATGTACAATAACAACTTTTTTAGAATGGAGATATGAACTTTAGGATTTTACATTTTTTTTTCAGGTAATAAACACTAATAGAAAATAAAAAGAATTATAAAAGTTAAACAGTACAGATAAGAGTGGGAAAAAGAAACTAACTTCAACAGAAACTAGGTAAGGGGGAAAAGAGTATCATAATCAGGACTTTTGATTTGACTGTGGATGCAAAGAAAAAGAATACTGCTCCCTAAAAAAGAATACTGAATAAATAAGAGAAAAAGAAAGGCAGCTGAACTTTAAGTCCAACACAGAAGCCCCCTGGATAGGACAGGACTTCACACTTCCCCCTCTTGCAGTATGAAGCCTGAGCCCTGGGTCTTTGCACTGAGTCACAACCCCAACCCTTTTATTTTTAATTTTGAAACAGAATCTCACTCAATTGTGCAGGCTGGGCTTGAACTTGCAATCCTCCTTCATCAGTGTTATGGTCTATGTCTTGATGCCTCCCCTGAAAGCCTCATATGGTCATATGTGGGGCTTTTCCAGAGGTGGCTGGATCTAGAGTGTGTGACACTGGAATTGATTCATAGTGCAATGCTAGGATCGAGGCACTAGAATTAAGGGTGTGAGTGCTACTCACCCTATGTATCCTAGCATTTTTTTTTTGTTTTTTGTTTTTTGTTTTTTTGTCTGGTACCAGGAATCAAACTCAGGATCTTGTGCTTGCCAGGCAGGCACTTATGCCACTGAGCTATATCCCCAGTCCCCTCACCCTACGTATCCTGGGTAAAATAAAAGTGATAGAAAGAGCTGTGATTGTCCCTTCCTTGCTTCTCTTTTAACTGCAATGAACTGTTTCTCCTCTGTGATGCCCCTCTGCCATGCCACCCTGCCTTGGAGCCAGCTAACTATGGACTGAAACCTCTATTAACTGTGAGCTAAATAAACCTATCCTCCTTTGAGAAAAGTAACTAAGACACTCACCCTCCCAGAAAGGCAGGAACACACCACCATGAACAGCCTAAGCACTTTCTTAGTTAAGAAAATTCAGCTAAAATAAATAAAGAATTGGTGGAGGCCAAGTACTGGATGACTTAGAGGACATGGAGCCCTATAAGAAACAAATCTAAAAAAGTTCACAACTTTTATGTTTTTTTTCATCACATACCCCTATAGCTAAACACAAAAAGACTGGTGAGAGTCCTAAGAGACATATTCATGGGATAGACATCAGGGAGGGGCACTTCATCTTGCCTTTTTCCTCTAAGAAATGAGTGCTTTAATCTTTGTGGGGCAGGGATAATAAACACTGTTGTCCTTGAGACCCTGGTGAAAACCACTGCATCTGGGGGCAGCAGCAGGATTATATTGGGGCCTAAAACTATAGCTGGAGGTGGGCAGAAACATGAAAAGGCCAAATAACCCAGAGACAAAAACATAATGCAGCCCTAAGACTTAGGCTTCATTAAAACAATAAGTAACACCCTTGCTCCTTCAACTTTTCGCACAAGTAACAGGAATATTGACAGCAGCAGACCCACTTCACAAGGTGCTGTCCAGAGAAAAGACCTAAAGACTCACAGAAAAGCCCACTGGCAAACCAGCCCATACTCTAAACGTAATTATTGCCAAAGGAATTTATAGCTTACGGTGCATGGTAGATCACCACAGAAACAACAAACCTCAACTCAATCCACTTCAACTATATTAACTCAAATCTCATATATGAAAAGCCTGGCAAAAGGACAGGTATACCCATTTCTAGGCATAAAAACTATTAACCTTAGACTATTATCCTATACAAAATATCTAGCTTTCAACAAAAATTTACAAAGCAGAGGAGAACGCAAATAGAGAAGCAAATACCCCAAAACACTACCTAGAGCCTTACCAATCAACAGAACCAGCTTTGTACATGATCCAAATGTTGTTTTGTTTTGTTTTGTTTTGTTTTGTTTTGTTTTGTTCTGGTACTGGGAATCAAACTCAGGACCGTGCACTTGCCAGGCAGGCGCTTGTGCCACTGAGCTATATTCCCGGCCCCAGATGTTGAAATTATCTGACAGGGAATTTAAAATAAACATGATTAATATGTCAGAGACTCTATGGAAAGGTGAAAAATATCCAAGATCAGATAGGTAATATCAGCAGAAAAATGGGACCTGTGAGAATCAAACTGAAAAGCTGGAAATGAAAACCAGTGACAACTGTAAATGTCTTTCAATGACTTGTTGGATACTTCAACAAGGGAACAAAAGAATTCGTGGACTTACTAAGTCAAAAGTAATATTTCAATTAATAAAAGCTGGAAACACAGAAAAAATGAGAGTATGTACGAGGGAGGGAATACAGCATCCAAGATATGTAGACAACATGAATGAAGGCTGGAGGTATAGCTCAGTAGTGCATTTGAAACCCTGGGATCATACCCAAACAGAACAGAACAGGACTTGTTCGACAACATGAAATAACCCAACACATGGAATTCAGAAGAAGAGTGTATGCACAGAAGAAATGCTTGAAGACATAATGACCAGGAACTTGCCAAAATTCACAGTAGACATAAATCCACAGATCCAGGAAACTTACAGAAGAAAACAGCAAAAGACGCATCCAGGTATATCATATTCAAACTGCTAAAAATGAAGGACAGAAAATGTTAAAGCCAGCCAGAGAGGTGAATGTATTACATGTAGAGGAACAAAAAGTACAACAGAGTTTTGACTTGCATGGTTTCTGAACAAAGATAATGGATTTCCAGTGTCCAAGGAAAATAACTTGTCAATACAGATTTTAATACCCTAAAAATCTTTTTAAGAGAAATAAATATTTTCTCAAAGAAACAAATACTAAGAGAATCTACTGCCAGAAAATCAGTACTGTAAGAAACATTATCCAAAGTTCTTTAATCAGAAGGAAGAATACACCAGACAGAAACATGGATGTGCACAAAGTAATAAGGAGCGCTGAAACAGAATAACTGAAGGGAAAAGAAATTTCATGTAAAATGTTAATTTTTATGAAAAATACCAATTGAAAGAAAAATTGTTTGCATACAGTATAAAATGTATAAAAACAATAGTACATAGGAGGGGCAGAATTGAAAATATACTGTTGTACAGATTTTATATTACACGAGAAACCTAGAATTTATTAGTTATAATTAAAAATTTTTTATCTGAGGGGCTGGGGATTTAGCTCAGTGGCACAGCGCCTGCCTGGCAAGTGCAAGGTCGTGAGTTCAATTCCTGGTACAGGAAGAAAAACAAAAACAAAAACAAACAAACAAAAATTTATTATTTGAAAGAACTCACTGATTGAAGATATGTATTACAAAACCTACAGCAGTGAGACAAACCTTTTAGAGACAAGTGCCCAAACTGCGACCCAAAATTCACTTATTTATCACGAAGTGTGAACACTGCAATAAAATCCAAATACCAAGGTTTTAGTTTAGAAAAAACAACTCATGTATTAACATCTTTTATCGTAAAAGAAAAACAAGACACATGCATAGGTTTACCACCTCTGACCTAGGACAATCACTAAAATTTTTTTCAAAAGAATATAAAAACACAAAGTCAGCTGTGAAGATAAAATGAAACCATAATAAATGTCCAATAAACAGATAGCAAAGTGACAGAGATGAATCCAAACAGAATCACAAAGCATGGACTGAACTTGACAGCTAAAAGAAGATGTGAAATAGGACACTTTCAAGATGGAGCTTCACATATAAAATTCACTTCAAGTATGTGTATAGTTTGGCAGTTTTTAGTATGTTCAGAGTTGTAAATAATTTTGTTAGATCAAATTTTGAAAAGTATAAGAGTTGATCAAAAAATATGGTGTTTAAAAATTTAATGGAGGAATTAAGAGTTACATGTATAAAGGATAAATCTCAGTCTAGATGGTAGATACATAAGTACTTGATGTATTTTTTAGATGAATATATGCCACCACCATAACACCACTTTTTCTTTCTTATTTTTCAGTAAGAAAAACCATACCAGTCCAAGTGCTGGCATTTAGGAACCAGTGCCTTACACCACCCACCTATTAATGAACTCTATCCAAAACCACACTTTCTAGTCTGACATGGCTCAAAATACAAATTCTACAGAAAGTCTTTGCCCAAAAACCACCGAATTGGAATTCTTTTCCCTCCTTTTATTGATACCAACTTCTCTCTAACTTTCCATTTACCAGATTTCTGAATGATAAAAAACACTATCTCTGCCTGCCTGATTTCTGAAGTTCAAGTCTTTTAGTAACTTGGATAATGCTTTAGTGTTTCACATGTTTGTTCAATTTGATTTTTTCATGTCTACTTACTATGAGACAGAACCACAATAATGCCTTAAAAGTTATGATTATGTTTTTATTTTCTGTACTAAGATAAATCCTGATTGTAAAAATAAAATTTCTCGCCATAAAATCTAGAATTTTGAGTCTGCAAAGCTTACAGTTCCTCTTCAGGGTCATTTTTAATTACACAGAAAAATATAAGAAAATAACTTTGAACAATGTAAAACAAGATACTTTTTATTCTTAAGAAATATACTCATACTATCATGTTTGAGATGAGATGATTCCTTTGCATACAGTTCAGAATGAGACCCAAGTTAACTATGCCCCCTGCTGACTGATGAATATTTTGAAAATATTCAGAGTACAGGCAGCCTCTGTATCCAAGGGTTCCACTTCCATGGATTCAACCAGTAATCAGAAATACTTTTTAAGAATTACACCTATCCTGAACATTTGCATACCTTTTTCCTTGCCATTACTCCCTAAACAAGTATAACAGCAACTATTTACACAGCACTTGCATCATACTAGGTGGTATAAGTACTCCAGAGATTACTGGATATATGGGAGAATATACAAAGGTTAATACTAAGGGACTTAGGCATCTGTGGGGATTGTGCAGTTCCCATGACTACCAAGATACAGCTATACGTGGAAAATAATCCATACAAATCTACCACAGAAAAAGTGTGCTTTTACAACACAAATGGATTTTGTGAAGAGGTTTTGGAAAATCTTAGTGAAGTATATTTAAGATAGGATTTATTAGAGAAAGGGGGGACTTGAAAAGAGGCTCATCACATCATACAATTTGATGAAACATCATTCACCTCCTATTCCACATCACCTGTGGTTCTCAAGTACAGGCAATTCTGCCCCCTTTGGGACATGTGGAGAGGTGTACAGACAGTTTCGGTCATCACGTCCTGGGAGGAGAGAGATGTTACTGGCATCTGATGGGTAAAGGTTAGGAATGTTGCTAAACATGCTACAATGCACAGGTCAACTCCATGAAATGAAGAATTCTCTAGCCCAAAATGCTAAGTAGTGAGGTTGCAGAATTTTGTCCCACATGTAAGTTCCCTCTCAAACTGTGCAACAAGACAATCCTATGAGTTTTACCTAAAAAGCAAATATATCTGCTCAATATAATTATTTGTGCAAACTTTGTTGGACAGGCCAAATCAGAAATTAAACCTCTGAAATCAAAGGGAACAACTTTCAGCCCTCTATTTGGTCTACAAATGGTTTCGTATCTTCTTCATCTTTTGCCTTTATTCTAGAAATGATACAATCTATCCACTAAACTTTGATCTGCTGATACTTTTAAACCTACTGGGCTTTTTCATCATACCTGTGTTTCCATTTCCATCATCCTTTGTTTTATTTCTCTAATTTCTGCCTGTGTTTCCGCTTCTCTAAGTCGAATGGTCATCAGTTCATCTTGTAACTCATTCACAGCATTTTTCTTAGGAGGGTCTTTCCATCTTCCAGTAGTACGAGATAAGTGGCGCTAAAGCATAAAAAATATTGCCATTAATTCTCTCAGTACTGAGGTAAAAGTTAAGTCTTACAGAGCATGTCTTTCAGCATAGATCCTGTATTAAGCATTCCCCAGAAATGCCAAGTAAATCTTAAAAGTTAGGAATTATTATCTTCATTTTACAGGTCAAAACATGGATGCTATGATTAAGTAACTTCAGAGGAGTTACACAGCCAGTGAGTGGAAGATCAAGGATGTAAACTCAGACATAGTTCAAAAGTAATTCTTTATAAAGAATACAATTTTCACCCTAATTTTTTTTTTACTTTAAAGAGAAAAGAACAAATCAAAATAACAACAACAAAGACAAACAAACAACACAAAAACAATAAAAATGATAGAGAATTTCAACACAAGGTGATAGGAAATTAACAATGGTTTTTGGATTACATATGGTTATCTTCAAAGTGGTTATTCAGATAACCAGATATGGGTATGTAAGATTGATCAAACAAACATTAACTGTTCCTTTTAATAAACCACCAGAAATTACTGGTACAATTATCTTAGCTATCCTGTGTGTATGTATGTTCTGGATTGTGTCTGGATGTCCCCCAAAGCCTCATGCAGTCATGGGGCAGGCTTCTAGAGTTTATGATTGATCCATGGTCCAGTGTTGGGATTATGGGTGTGAGCGCTGCACCCGCCCTGGGGCAGGCAGTGTGCATACAGTGTAAGGGAGGGCAAGAGGCTCACTGTCTGCACTTCCCCTATTTGCTCTTGCTGCTTTTGCTGTGTTCTGCCGCCATGAACTGTTGCCCTCTGCCACGTGCCACTCTGCCTTGGAGCCAGCCTAGTAGGGACCGAAACCTCCACAAACTGTGAGCAAAATAAACTTTTTCTTCCTCAATTTTGGGTGTCAAGTATTTTGTCTCTGCAATGAGAGAAAAGTAACCAAGACACTATATATATTTTTTCTTCTTTTTCTCCTTTCCCTCATCCCAGCTGCTCTTTCCTTTTGAGTTCTTTCCCTTTCATGATATCTATTCTATCTTTCAGATTTTATTTACTCTTTCAGGTTCTTATACTAGGGAAACAATACAATCTTTACACATGTGAGTCTGATTTATTTCACTTATGAGTATGGTCTCAAGTTGCACCAATTTACCTATAAAAGCCAAGTTTATCTTTCTTTACAACTGAGTAATACTCCATTGTATAAAAATACATCTTTTTAAACCATTCCTAGTTGATGGAATTTGGATTGTTTCCAAGATTTAGCTATTACAAATTGCACAGCTATAAACATGGGTACACATATATCTCTGTGGTATGACATTTTCAGTTCTTCTGGAAAAATAGCCAAGGGGGAAATAGTGGGGTTGAATGAGACCTCTAATCCTAGTTTATTGAGGTATCTCCAGACTGATTTCCACAGTGGCTGCACCAGTCTACACTCCCATCAATAGTGAAGGGTTCCCTTTTCCCCATAGCCTTGCCAGCATTTGTATTGGTTGATTTCTTTTTTTTTTTTTTTTGGTACCAGGTATCAAACTTATGACCTCAGGCTTGTCAGGTAAGTACTTATGCTGCTGAGCTAGATCCCCGGCCCTGTATTGGTTGATTTCTTGATGACAGCCATTCTTTCTGGGGTGAGATGGAATCTCAGTGTTAATTTGCATTTCTCAAATAACTAATGATGTTGAACATTTTTTCATGTATTTATTTACCATTTGTATTTCTTTATCAGAGATATGTGTATTTATCTCAGATGCCCATTTCTGGATTGGGTCTTTGAATTTGGGGGGCCTGATTTTTTTTCAATTCTTTATATGGTCTAGATAGAAGTCTTTTGTTTGAGGGACAGTTGGTTAAAATTTTTTCCCAATTTGTGGGTTTTCTTTTTACTCTGTTGGTGATTTCTTTTGATGTGCAAAAACTTATCCATAAAATGAGATCCCAGCTGTTGATTCTTTCCCTTGCAATTTGTTTTTTGTTCATGAACTCTCTGCCTACCCCTATGTCTTCAAGATTTCTAACTATTTTCTCTTTAGTAGATTTAGTGTTTCCGTCTTGATATTTAGATTTTTAACCCGTTTTCACTTTAGTTTAGTGCATGTGATAGATATAGGTCTAGTGTTAGTCTTTGGCATGTACAGCCAGTTTTTCAAGCACCATATGTTAAAGAGGCTATCTTTCTTCTAGTGAACATGTTTGGCCCCTTTGTCAAAGATAAGGTGGCTGAGTATGTTTGTGGCTGCATCTTCTAGTCTGTTGCACTGATCCTCAGGATTTTTTTTTTTTTTTTTGTCAATACCATGCTGATTTTATCACAGTAGCTTTGCAGTATAATTTCAAATCAGGAACTGTGATGCCTCCTGCCTTTCCTTTGTTGCCCAAGACTGCTTTTGCTATTCTGGGATTCTTCTGGTTCCAGATAAATTTTAAGAATGTTTTTTCTAGATCTCTGAGGTATCTTAATGGTAGTTTGATTGGGATTACATTGAATCTGTATAACAATTTTGAGAGGACAGCCATTTTCACAATGTTGACTTCCCTATCCATGAGCAAGGAATATCTTTCCATTTTCTGAAACTCTCTTCAATCTCTTTTTTCAGAGTACTGTAATTTTCATTGTATACATCTTTTACTTCTTTTGTTAGATTGATTCCTAAGTATTTCAATTTTTTGGATACTATTGTGAAAGGTATGGTTTCCCTAATTTCTCTCTCAATGTGTTTGTTTTTTGTACAGAGGAATGCTATTGATTTTGGAGTGTTGACTTTGTATCCAGCTACACTACTAAACTTGTTTATTAATTCTAGGAGTCTTTTGGTGGAGTTTTTGGGCTGTTCTACATATAGGATCGTGTCATCTGCGAATAATGATAATTTCACTTCTTCCTTTCGTATCGTTATTCCTTTTATTTCTGTCTCTTGTCTAGCTGCTCTGGCCATTTCTAGAACTATGCTGAATAGGAGTTCACCTTAATTTCTTAATGAGAGATTTTTCACATTATCTTCAACGAAATCCCAAGAAAAGCAAAACATGGAGCCATTCACTATGGAATTATATTAGAAGTTAGGGTTTCATTTAATTTCCAGTTTATTGTAGCTTGATATTTTTGCAAAAACATATTATAAAAAGCAAAGGCAATATTAAGGCCAATATCGGTCTTTTCTAGATGTTCTCTCTTCCCTTCCTACCCACTCCAACCAAGATCACTATTCTGCAACTATGTAGCTTACTACTTCTCTCTTCTGACCTTTTGACTTTTTAAAAAATTTATTTTTGGTGGTGGTACTGGGGATTGAACAGAGCCTTCACAGTGAGCTACATTCTCCTTTTCTCCCCTTTTCTGAAAGAGAGTCCCACTAAGTCATGATGTCACCTATGCTGGGCTCAAACTTGTGATCCTCCTGCTTCAGCCTCCCGAACATACCACTACACCTGTCTTCTCTTTTGTCTTATGGATCCTTGTCAACAGTTTCCATCTTACATGGATGAACTTGTGCACATATAATTAGCTAAATGTCATTTATTTTGCAAAATAACCATTTTCAAAACAAATTATAAATTTATATTGGCATCACCCTTCTGATATTTTACACTGAACAACAAGGGATTTAATATCAGCCTAAGAAAAGTATGCACTGTATAAAATATTTTCTTATAGCTCTTTACAGAAAGGATTATAAAATGCAAAATGGTACAATAAAAATTTGACCTGATTTTTATTTTAATTTTTACTACACTGTAAGACTCAAAAAGAGAAAAACAGCTTAAATGTATTTTCAAGTCATAAACGTTCTCCAATTTTGATATTAAGCAAGGTAGTTCTCACTTTAAACTCATCTTTTGATCATCAGCCACTTCAAATTAATAACAATTGGACATTTGTGTTTTTTACTTTCTTTTTAACAAGTACCTAAAATATATTAACATACCTGCCAGTGTTCTTCCAAATCCTTGACCTGCTGTCTAAGTTCTTTCAAACCCATAATGGCTTCTGCTTCTCTCAGTTTCACAGCGATGAGTTCCTCCTGAAGTCTTGCAACATTATTCTCATCAGGAAAAGAGTTGTTCCTCTAACATGACACAAAATTTAATTTGGAATTTTTAAATTTAAGAAATAAAATAAAATATGAGCTATTTTGTATCAAACATGTTTAATTTTAAACAGCTTTACTGAAGTACAATTCAAACCATAAAAATCACTCTTTTAGAGAATTGAAGTCAGTGGTTTCAGATTATTCATAAAGTTACTCAACCATCACACTAATATAATTTTACAATACTTTTCCCACTCAAAAAAGGAAACCTTATGCACATTAGTGATCATTCTTCATTCTTCATTTTCCCAGCATACCAGTCCCTGGCAACCACAGATCTACTTCTTGTGTCTAGGGATGTGCCTATTTTGGACATTTCACATGAATGGACTCATACAATACTGGCTTGGTAACTAGTTTATTTCACTTACTAGTGTTTCAAGGCTCATTGTTAAATACTATTCTGCTGTACGCATATAATACATTTTATTCATGAATTCATTTATTAATGGAAATCTGGAATTTTTTTGCAATTTTTTTACTATTATGAATAGTACTGTTAGGAACATGTATTTTAAATTTTTTGTGTGGACATTTATTTTCAATCCTCTTAATGTACATATTTAGGAGTAGAACTTTTGGCTCAGATAGTAATCACTTTAAATTTAACTTGGGGAACTGCCAGACTTTTCCAAAGTAGCTGCACTGTTTTACATTCCCACCAATAATAAGTGAGGGTAATTGTACTTTATTTTGTTTGTGTTTTTAATTGTTATTTTGAAGAGAAAAAGAGCAAAAAAACAAAAACAAAGGAAAAAAACAAAATAAAAAACAATAAAAACAATACCTATAATATTTAATTTTGAAGACGTAGAGTCTACCCCTGCTTTGTTAATAGTAATCGGGAGTAGGGCCGGTTAATAGTAACCAGAGTAGCTCAGGGGCACAGCACCTGCCTGGCAAGTTGCAAGACCCTGTGTTCAATTCCCAATATTAAAAAAAAAAAAAAAAAAAAAAAGAAGAAGAAGAAAAGAAAACAGTAATCAGAGTTAATGAACAGGTCTTAAAAATGCTTTTCTACATGGCAATAAACTTATCAGCTCTGATTAGAACTCCAAATAAAGCACAAACATCATTCACATTTTAAAGATTGAAGAAAAAGTCCAAGTCTATCTGAACTAAGTGATCTAAATATTTTTTTCTTGAATTTAGATTAATCTTTTACCATACTATAAGACCCATCTGGATAGTGCAGTATTGAATTGCTCTAGACAGTTACCAAGAGATTTAAATTAGGCCCTAGGGAAAGCTTCCTAGGTAAACTAAGGTACTGTGGTATTGAGATTTCAAGGCCTGATTCAATAGTTTTCTATCTCTAAAATATTTCATAGTAGACACGAACATTAGCACACAAAAATTACAGAATAAAGTTATTCTCATAAATTAACACATCTTCTTGTGATGGACTTAGTTTCTTAACTGACAATCAGAAAATTATTTCATCTACATTAAGAAGATTGCTAGAAGAAAAAGATAATGTTGCACAAAGAAAGTAACCATAATGCAATCTTCCAATTTCCTTTCTACTCTAAAACATCAACATCAACATAGCAATTTTAGAAGCCCCTCCCTCCCTTCTTTTCTCCGACCTCTTTCCCCAACCCTTTCTTTCAAGACAGGGTCTTGCTATCAACTCATGTGATCCTCCTGCCTCAGCCTCCTGAGTAGTTAGGACTATAGGTGCATGCCACTGCCCTTTGGCAGGAAATACAGTTTTGATTTGGACCCAAGTATAGTTCTGTGTACAAAATGATGAAAATCTTTCTAATTGCAAGATTTACATTCTTATATAAATCATGGAGCCCAGAATACTACTCTAAAGTTAGACCAAATATTCTGTTAGGCCTTTCCTTTAATATTGCTGCTTGATTTTTCACAACAAATCAGAGAATGAATTTGCCAGATAATATACAAATAACGAGCAGGTATCTAGCAAAATTATTCCATTACTGATTCTAGTTATACTTCTGTTTCATTAAGAAATAGACATCTGAGGTTTTTACATCTGTTATCGATGGAGCTTCTTGATTCAACAGTTAAGAGATTATCTATGGATGAAAAAGAACAAAGAACCCAACAATAGAACCCAAGCAATCAATCATTTGATTGATATGAGAAAACAAAAAGTTCATAATCTAGCACCCAGATGCTCAAATCTGAGCATTATAAAAAAACCTAAAAACTTTTCTTGTTCCATTACTTATCTAATAGGCCTTGATAGTCTGTAGTATCACTGAGAAGTTAACTTTTATAAGTAAGTACAATTCAGAGTAAGGGGAATTTCCTATATATCCTAAGGTGACTTGTTCTAGGTTGGAGGGTTTCAGCAATTACATTCAGAAAAAATCTGCATAGAATGTCTATGTATTCGTCCCATCTCTTCTACAAAAGATGATACAACAGTTGAGGAAAACTGATTTCTGTCTTCTAAGTTTCTCTTCTTTAACATTTAAATATTCCTCCCATAAAAATTATCTTTGTCCTTTTCTTCTGAAAGGGCTCTAATTTCCATTTTTATCCTTAAATATGTGCCCTGGATTACTATGGAAACAACAAAGAATTGCAATCTTAAAAATTGTTTTACTTTGTTCTCTAGTTTCCAATATGTTGTGTACATGTGTGCACGCACCCACCCTTTGTTTAGTTTCTAATATGTTGTGTGTGTGTGCGTGTGTGTGTGTTGCTGGGGATTGCTGGCAAGTGCTCTACTACTAAGCTCTGTCCCCAGCATCAATATGTAAGATTTTTTAAATGTAACGATACCAAGTCCAATTTGACCGCTCAATAAGACTTAAGAAATATCTACCATTTCTCTCAACTAATTCAGGAGCAGACAGCACTTATATACAGTAGTTTCTTACCTTCTCTATATCCAGAACTTTATCTTGCATCTCCTTTAGTGCACACTGAGACTCAGCTTCACTCAGTCGGGCTTGAACCAATTCCTTCTCTAGCTGTAGCACAAAATCTTCATTGTAGTTGGAACTGCATTTATGCTAAAGGTTATAAACGTATACTGAGATTTCATGGAGGCATCAACATGTATATAAAGTAAAAATAATTCAATGATATAATTCAGGTATTAAGGGCAACTACAAAGTAAAAATTCTATCTACACAATATCCCCTGGGTATTTCCTCAGTTCAAGTATTTTTAAAAAAGAATACATTATTGAGTTATAGTAACTAGTTATTAAACTCATCAAATTCAATTCATATAAAATAACTACCTCCTTTTATCTGTCCATCTATCCAGACACTAAGAATCTGTTCTGACTCTACAGACCTGACCTGCCCAACAGGGTAGCCATTAGCCACATACTGATACTGAGCAACTGGAATGTGGTTAATTCAAATTGAGGCAGGTTTTGAGTATAAAATATAAACTACACTTCAAAGACAATATAAAGTAAGGGCTGGGTATGTGGCTTAAGGTAAGGCACCTGTTTAGCAAGTGCAAAGCCCTGGGTTCAATCCCTGGCACCACATCACAAAAAAAAAAAAAAAAAAGAATTCAAAGATTCTTACACTGATTGCATGTTAAAATAATACTTTCAATATACTGAAGTAAACAATATTAATTTGACCTGCTTTTACTTCTTTTAATGTAACTAGGAAATTTTAAATTGCCTCTCTGGCACATACTATACTGCTACTGAGCAGCAGTGTTAAGAGATTTCACAAGCACACATTTCCTGAAAATTCTATTTTACTCTAATACCAATAACAACAAGCTACACACAATAAGTGAATCACCAAAAAAGAACAAAACTGTACTATTTGCCTTAGAAATGTGGATTTCTGGGGCTGGGGATTTAGCTCAGCGGCACAGCGCCTGCCTGGCAAGCGCAAGGTCGCGAGTTCGATTCCCGATACTGGAAAAAAAAACCAAAAACAAAAAAAAAGAAATGTGGATTTCTTTAAAAGATACACATGTAAATGATTACTGGAAGCGGCGAAAAAGCAGATACTGTGTAGAGAAATTAATCACAGAAGCATGAAATCTTTCCATTTCCTTTCCTATTCTATGACACAAATACTAATGCAGCCACTTAAGAAATCCCTTTTCTTTGATTCTGTTTTTTTTTTTTTTTTTTCTGGTACTGGGGATTTAACCCAGGGACTCCTGCATACCAGTAAAATTTTAAAAGGGCTGAAATGCTCTGATAATGTAACTCTGGATAATAAATGTCTTTTTTTATATATAAAACATTATTTTAGCCTCTGGATTAAAACCGTTGTAAATCTGTGTAATTTTTTTTGCTATTAAGAAAGTTCATAAAACATAATTCTTAATTATCAGACCATCATGACAATGATCCATTAATACACTGCTAATTATATAGGACCTAAAGAATACAGAGTACTTCTGCTGGCATAGTACAATATGAATTGGTAGGGTTTGTAATGTGTGACTTAACAGTTCTCATTATTTTTCCCTCTACTGTCATTTTCTGCAACTTTCAATCCTAGCTTTATCTTGGTTCTTTCGTCTTGGCTCTTAGTCTTACCTTTATATCAGTCATCTGCTTCACTCTCTAGCAATGGCTTTTACCCTTTGGAGTCACAGACTCTTTTTTGAGAATTGCATGAAACTCAAATTTTTCAAAACAAAAAAAAATTATATTCATGAAGTTCTACATGTAATTTCAGACCTCCATGAGGCTTCCATCTACCCTAAGTTTGAAAGTTTCACTCTCAAAAGTACTCCCTTTAATCCTTAGCTACTTTTATGATCATAACTCTGAGATCACACTGGATCTCACATTCTCAGCAGCTTGTTCCATTTCCACACCAATTTTCTATATTCAAATCAAACTTAATACAAACGTTATCATCCTCCTCAAACCAATTCCTTTCCTTGATTTCTCTACTTGCCAATGACCTAAAATCCCTCATGTGGCACCTCAGTGTTGCCTATAACGGCACAGTAAGAACCTCTTACTATAGAATTTTTCTCTTATCATTGCTTCCCTTTCATTCCCCACGATTGCTCTAGTAACTGGTCTTTCTTGTCATTAACCCCAACACTTGGGAGACTGAGGCAGGAGGATTACTAAGAGTTCCAGGTCAGCCTGGGCTACACAGTGAGTTTAAGGCCAGCCTGAACAATATAGCGAGACCCAGTCTCAAAAAGACAAAAAATTTCATATAATTTGTTTTCAACATCTGATTTATTCAGGCTAAATACAAGTAACCATTTTAAAGTTAACTATTCGGCAGTACTTACTACCTTCAGAATGTAGTACAGCCATCTATAGGGCCAGGGATATAGCTCAGCAGCACAGCACCTGCCTGGCAGGCGCAAGGTCCTAAGTTCGATTTCCAGTACAAAAAACAAAAACAAAAAACCAAAACCCAACCATATCTGTAGTTCCAAATCATTCCTATCAAGCAGATTCTCACCCATGACTATATATCTTCTAGAAAATAACCACCCATATTCTGTTCTGAATTTATTTATGTTGACTATTTCCTATAAATGGCATCACACAATATATGTACTTTTATATCTCGTTTCTTTCACTTAGCTTAAGGTTTCTGCAGTTCACTGACATTATAGCATTATTAGTAGTTTATTCCTTTTTATGGATGAATAATATCCCACTGTATGTATACATGATATAATTAAAACATACAGTATTTAATTTTGTAAAAATTACAGTAAGACATACTGCCACGAGGCAGGTGGGGGGAAGGGGAAGTACAAATGATCAAAACTCAGTATGTATATGTACCTATTCCCCAAGGAGAATGTAGTTATTATTCATCACAAACATATACAAATAAAAAATAACTTATCAAAAAGAAATCAGATGGAGAAGCTGGGGACAGTGGGGGAGCACAGTGCCATGAGTCTTCCTAAAATACCCTGCACCTCCCACACACACTTATTCTCGCCACTTTCTGAGGCAGTTCTGGAAGTCCTTTTTCTAAAGTGTCTTTATTTGTCCTGTCTTTGCTGCCTTGGCATCCTGAATCAATTCAAAATGTTTACCTTTTACAGTTATTATGACTTGGGAAAGTGCCAGAAGTCATGAAGTGCCAGATGTGGTGACTAAGGCAAATGAGGACACACTGTAATATTTTTACAAGTCTGCCTTTCTGTTGGATAGCACTACGCAGCAGCATTCACTCTGTTTTTGATCATACCTTGTAAAGACACTAATAGAAGAGGACTTTCAGAACTGGTTCAGAAAGGGTAAGAACAAAAGGATATGTTTTTTTCAAGTGAGGGACCTAATTTTGAGGGCATTAATGGTAATGTGTCTTTAACTTTTAAATTTAAAAACATTTTCCATATATTTTGATTATCTCATATATATGACAATTTGTTTATCCATTCATCCACTGATGGACTTCTAGATTTTGCCCACTTTTCAAAATACACATAGTAAGGCTGCTACAGATCTGTCCATACATACTTCTTTGAATTCTAATATTTCGTTCTTTTGGGTTACCATATATCCTACAGCTAGGATATATGGTAATTCTATGTTTAATTTTTTGAGGAATTATACTGTTTTCCATAAAAACTGACTGTTACATTCCACCAAGGATGTATGAAAGTTTCAATTTCCCCTACTCCTTGCCAACATTTGTTATTTGGGGTTTGTTTTTAAATTATAATCATGCCACTGGGTGTGAAGTGATACATCCACTATGGGTTTTATTTTATTTCCCTATTAACTAATGATGTGGCGGACCTTTCCATACGTATCCTGGCCATCTGTGCATCTTCTCTGGAGGAAGGCCCATTCAAGACTTTTGCCCATTTTCTAACTGGGTTACTTCTGTAGAGTTTTATGAGTTCTTCACAGATTTTGCCCACTAAATTCTTATCAAATATGTGACTCAAAAATGTTTTCTACCATTTTGCAGGCTGCTTTTTCATTTACTTAGTAATCTCTTTGATAATTTTTTTTAAAATTTTGATGAAGTTTAAAGTATTTCTCTTTTGTTGCTTTTGGTGTCTAAGAATCCACATCTATACCAACCATCAAGTAAAAAGTCATAAAGATTTACTTCTATGTATTATTCTAAGGGTTTTTTGGTTGCTAAACCACAAAACGCACACCCATCATCCCAGTAACGTAGGCCTTAAGTTCAATGCCAGCCTAACCAACTTAATGAGACTCTTCTCTTAAAAAACAACAAACCACCACGAAATGTTGTATGTATGTTTGTGCATGCATAAACAGATTATTTTAAACCACAAAACCTGTATTTTATGGTATTAGATTACTGATCAATTTTAAGTTTTATTTATAGCACATGTCGTGGTCCAATTTCATCATTTTGCATAAGACCACCCAGTATTCCCAGCATCACGGTTGAAGAGACTACCCTTTCCCTCAATAAATGGCCTGACAGCCTTGGGAATATCAACTAGCCATTGATAAGTGAGTTTATTTCTAGAATCTCAATTCAATTCCATCCTTATAACAGTAACACAACGTTTTGATTACTCTGACTTGGTACCAAATTTTGAAATCAGGAGATGTGGTGCCTTAGTTTTATTCTTCTTTTTCAAAATTGTGTTGGTTATTGAAAGTTGCTGTCAGACGGGCTGGCACATGCCTGAAATCCAAGCACTCAGGAGGCTGAGGCAGAAGGATTGCTGTGAGTTTAAGGTCACCCTGGGCTACACAGTGAGACCCTGTCTCAAAAACAAAAACAGAAACAAAAAACAAAGCTGCTTTTAATTGTGTTTATTTTTCATTTTTTGCAAAAAAAAAAAAAAAAAAAAAAAATAGTATGGGTATTTTGATAGGGTAGTGTCTTAGCTACTTTTCTCATTGCTGAGACAAAATACCTGACATCCAAAGTTAAAGGAGAAAAGGTTTATTTAGCTCACAGTTTGTAGAAGTTTCAGTCCATAATTGGCTGGCTCCAATGCAGGGTGGCATGGCAGAGGGGCAGCCATTCATGGTGGTGAAGACAGCAAAAGCAACAGGGGAGGGAGAGATCAGCCTCTTTCTGTCCACAATATTGTA